TTTACAAGCACTTTTACAGCACTCCAGGAAAGTCAGCTGAGGGTTCATAAGAATTTTCCTTTTAAAAAACATTCATCTGACCAAAATAAAATCATTTTAATTAACTCCTTCCTGAGTAACTAAAACCTTGGAATGTGCTGAAAGGTTATAATAAATAAGGCAGTCAAAGATCAACTAGCTTAAAATGTATTTTCTTTTTAAATTAAACTATGTAAAATGTACAATATATATTTCATGAAGTACAAACGGTGTTGGGCCCAGGGCCAAAGAAATGCTGTCCAATAATCTGATTAAGTACCTTGACTTTTAGGACCTAGAGACCCTTGGGACAAAAGAACCTGCAAGCAAATCAGCTATCATCTCCTCCTGTGAAGTGGCGATGATCACTGCTAAAAATAAACACCTTTGCCTGCTCGCAAAGAACCACACAGCAGTTCTCGTTTGGAGCATGTTAACTATTTTCTAGGCTATTCTTTAAAGTATGCTTAATGGAAGGGCCCTGGTCCCTCTGAACAGCACAAAAGAGTTAGTCTCTTCTGTCTACATTTCCTTTATTCATTTCCTGACCCAGTTCCCTGAGGCAGAAAGGAGGCCCACAAGTGTCCAGTGCTGGACTTAGTATCCCTGTGGTTCCTGCCTTCACTGGATGCCCTAGGCTGGAGCCTTCTTAACGTACCTCATGATAAAGTACCTTCAGTGTGCACTGGCAAGGTTTCAAATGATTGGCTTTATTTCTTGGCTAGTGTCCAGTTTTAGTGAAGGGAGCAAAGATTCTAGAGACTTGATGGTTTCTGAAAAGTAGAATTGTAGGTTGTGTCAGTCAGTCTTAGTGACTTTTAAGTACTTCAAACTTACTTTGCTAGTGCCCTTCAAGGGCTGGCTTTGGGGGTGAACATGGAGTAGACACAAATTGCTATCACTGCACCCCACATTTTCAGTGAGTATAATATAACCACCCAGGAGAATGTGAATTTTTCAGGATCTTTTTTAAAGGTAGACACAATTCAGAATTTAAAGGAACAGGTTTCTAATGAATGAAACGAATGAATCAGGGCATTATGATGGTGGGGAGGTAGACGGTGGGCAGAAGGGAGGTTTTGATGCTACAGAACTGCCCAGTGTCGAGTCAGGTCATCCCGGACACCAACCTTCTCTAAAGCTGGCCAAGCAGTGTCCTCCCAGAAATCTTGCTGTTTCTGTCATTGATGTTCCTGATAAGGGTTGTCAGGAGCAAGCAGGTCCCATAAGAAATGATTCCTGTGTTACCTGCACAGGGCCCGGGACCTCTTGTTACTACACACAGCTTTTATAGTACTAGAAGGTATGAGAGTCACCAAGTTCAGGAGGACCCAACATGGCCATGGCTGTATTTGAGAGATTGTGCTGCAGACAGCTTAGAATTCCTGCCACAGGGATCACTGCCAGAGCTAAATCAGTTCCCGGGACTTCCATTTACAGCCATGCTGGGGGCAGAGGCATTTCAGAAGACCAAAGGCTTCATCTGATGCCATGGGGTCCTCAGATTTGATCTGGCCTGCCAACATTCTTCCACACACTGCAAACAAACCCTTTTCCTTGTGATGCTACTTTGATGTCTGTCAGAGCAATGCTTGGAAGTGGAGTGTGTCAGTGGAGCTTACGTGAGCTTTGACCTTGGTAAGGATCCAAGCTCTGACTGGCTGGGAGCTGGGTGTTGGAAGCCAACTTGTTTTCTCAAAGATAAGTATTCTGTTCTTGGTGATTTGCCCCCTGAGATAGGCCAGAGGCAGAATTCCACTCATGTGGGCAGAAATTACTTAACCAGGGAAATCTTCCCTTTTATGCTCCTATCTGCCTTCCTTCTCCTCTTAGATCCTTCTAGAACAGATTTCCTCCTCTTTGAAGTGGTTTTGTGTTTCTACTGGAAAGGTACAAATCTGCATATCTTTACCACCGAGGTAACATTTTTTTATGAGACATTTTACAAATGATAAGCAACTGCGTTGTAGGACAGACGTCTCCCTCTTTTCCCATTGTAAAAGATGGGCAAGGCTGTTTTATGAAGTAGTGCCTTGTGATGGAGCCATCTAGTGTACCTGGGAAAGACTCAAGGAGCCAAGAAAAACAAAAAAACACAGAATAAAATTAAAACAAATAAAACCCGCAAAACCGGGCATCTCCCAATGACCCCAACATGTGGGAATGTTTTGTTCTTTTTAATGCACCCGAGCATTAATGTAAGTCCCTTCAGAATTTTTCTTCCCCAAAGAATTTTCTGGAAAAGGGGGATGGATCCATGGAGGTGACCTGGTGCTGGCATCACCTCTTATAAATATCCTCTAGCCACTTTTCATCATCTTGCTCCTCGTCATCGATCGGCTCCTCTGTCTCCAAGGGGGTGGGGATGAAGAACTGTGGTCGCAGAGGAGGCCTGCTTGTGCGAGACTTCAGTCCAAACTTGCGCTTCAGCAGGTGGAACTGCTCTTTGACGTAGTGGTAGAATTCGTACTCATATCTCATTCGCTGGTAGAGAATCTGCACAGCCTCAGGAGAGGGGACAGTCTTCTTCACGGTCACAGTCATGTTTCCCAGTTTCCTATGCTCTGGAAAAGAAACAGGGCACATATGAGCAGCCATCCACAAAGCTTTGCCTCAGAAAGAGCAACCAGGCATGTGTCTGTCTGAAACTAGACATCCAATAAAGAGAAGAAAACATTCTCATGGTAGATGAAATTAGGTCTCGTTTCTATGTCAGAGAAAATTCACTGTTTATAGTTTACAGTCTCCTACAATCTGTCCCTCTTCAAGCACTCTGAACTGGGAAAAAGCAGGTACCATGGGCCTAGCTACATGGGAGGGTAAGGTAGGAGGATCATGTGGGCCCAGGAGTTGGAGGCTCACAGGGTAACACAGGGAGACTCTGTGTTGATGAATGGATGAATTAGTAAATAAATAGATACTGTTGTGGTTTTTGTTTTTATTTTGAGCCTGTTTTATTTTGATCATTGTATGGATCAGGCTGGCCTTGAACTCACAGAAATCTGCCTGCATCTTCCTCCTATGTGCTGGGATTAAAGGTGTGCACCACCATGCCCGGACTGCTGTGGTTTTCTTACTCTGTACCCCCCCCCCCCCGCAAAAAAAAAAGATTCCTGTGACATTTCGTTTAAATTATTTGAGCCAAACTGGTCTAAAATGAATCTGAAGAATTTTACAAAAATGTTTATGCTGCCATTAATAGCTGTGAGAAACGGGCCAAGAGAAGACAAAAAGGGGAAAGTGGGACAGGGCTCCGGCCCTCCTCGCCTCCTGCTCCTGTCTCTTTCAGGTGGGTAGGCAAAGTACAGTGTACCCATGGTTGCATATTTGTGCATTTGGCGGAAGGAGTTAAGAGTTCCTCTCTGGGGCAAGTACCTGACTGTGGGCCCAGCATCCTGTAGGATGGCATATCACTACAACCCAGCACATCACCATAGCACATCACCACAACCCAGCACATCACCACAACCTACATAAACTGTACCTTCCAGCCTAGCTAGCTTCATTTGGCACAGCTGGAATTCCTGCCTGTCTTCTACTCTATTTCTTAATTAATTCAGAACCCAAGCAGGGAAAAATGGGTGTTATGAGCCTCTCAAATCCCAAAGGTGACAAAAAACACATGCTCTGACTCCCTAACGACTTCTGTAGGAGGTAGGCCAATAGTCAGGCTCTGAATGTTCTAGCAGCCAACAAAGAATTTATTACATTACACGGCTCTTAAAATAATACAGTCACAACTATTCCTGGGTATGAAACCATCAGGAAATGCTTTCCATTAAGTCTCTTAACAAAAGGCTGCAGAGGAATTAGCAACATCTTAATGACAATCATGAAGTAAGTCCCTATATCAAGTCTGTTCCCAGGCAGCACTGGCTTTGGGGCTCCACATTTTATAAGGTAATGAGGTCTGTGATAAGATCCCAAGGGGCCCTTCCACACAGTCACCCCACTATCCTGAACGAAAGTGTACTGACTACTGGGAAATACTGGTCAGAACAAAAACCAAGTGGCCAACCTTCCTGTTTGCTAGAAAACTTTACAGACCAGGCAGACTTTTAAGGCAAGAGAAGTAAAGAGGAACTTTCTATTTCTAGCTACAAGAGTTTCGAAAGATCCTTTGTGCACAACAACAGATTGCCAAGTGTATTTCAGTCTCTTTAGCCCTCTCGATTCTTCTTAATCCATTCTCTAAGTCCCCTTGTTAAGCATGAGGGACAGTCACAAGGGGTTCAGATTAATCTTAGGAACACCTGGTTTTTGCTAAGCTCCAGTTTTGTATTAACATCCAATTCCTGCTTCTACCTGTTCCCTTTCTCTTTCCTTCCATCCATTCTCACTGTCAATCTCTCTCTTTCTCTGTCTCTCTCTCTCAACTGTCTCTTTCCCACCAAAATTCATTGGGGGCTGTGTTGGAGCATGGTCTTAAGCATCTCAGGCTGGCCTTGAACTCGATAGCTGTGGCTGAGGAAGACCTTAAACTTCTGATCCTCCTGCCTCTACCTCCCCAGAGTTGAGATTATAGCTGTACACCATCATACCCAGTTTATAAGGTGCTGGGGACTGAACTCTGGGCCTTGTGAATGCTAGGCAAGCACCCTACCTCCTGCTACATTCCCAGCCCTTTCTTGTGTTTTCTTTTTCTTTTTTTAAAAAAATATTATTTTTATTTTATGTGTATGAGTATTGCCTGCATGTATGTGAATGCACCCGTGTAGTGCAATGCCGCAGAAGTCAGAAGAGCACTTCGGATTCTCCTGGAACTAGAGTTAAGGAAGGTTCTTAGCTGCCCTGTGGGTGCTGGGAATCAAACCCGGGTCCTCTGCAAGAGCAGTCAGTGTTCTTAACCACTGAGCCATCTCTCTAGCCCCTCTCTTGTGTTTCTTAAAGAAACCCTTCCCTTCCTGTCCTCCCTCTTTTGGTCCTCACACCACAGCCCAGTTTCTTCAACAGCTGTGTAAGTGTGCTGTCAGCAAGATTTCAACGTTTACATGTTGGGACTTTCAGTGCCTTTCTGCTCCCACAATGCTCCATTCAAATACTCTTGGCTCCTTGTTGGGTCCTCTGCAGGCCTTCCTATGGCTCCTAGCTGGACCTTGCAGCACTGCTGGCTGTGTGCACCTCCTAGAAGCTCTCGCTCCCTTGGCATCTCTTACAACCAACCTTTCCTGAGTTGTCGTTGCCTCTCTGTGGCTCATTCTTTCCATCCTTCCTCTTCCCCAGCCTGTCCTTTAAATGCCAATATTTCCTGGGGGTTCTGCCTTAACCTTCTTTACTATTGAGTCCCTGGCCCAGCAACAGAGAATTTTCTTTCCTTTTTTTTTTTTTTCCTTCAGAATCTCACTATGTAGCCCTAGGCTGGCCTGGAACTCATTCTGTAGATCTGCCTGCCTTTACCTCTGGAGTGGTGGGATTAAAGGTGTGTGCTACCATTCCTGATTCAATAAAGAGTTTTAAAAATCATATTTTAAAGGCACTTGTTTGTGTAACCTGCACTGCTATGGACAAGTTACTCCATTGCTAAGTACTCCACAGTTTTTTAAAATGCTAGATTTTCCCTCCAAATAAAACAAAGCCACACAAACTAGGAATCAGTCTCTCTCCAGATCACCACAATAGCAGTTCTCCAGGATGCTGGTAGGCAGTTTTGTTTTTTAAGAGTGTCATTATTTCAGCCACAAAACAATTATGCTTTAAAAATCAACACTGAACCTGCAAGATGGCCTGATGACCTGAGTTCAAGCCCCAGAACCCACAGTAGAGGGAGAGAACCAATTCCTGAAAGTTGTCCTTTGATCTCCTCAGAGGCATGTGTGCTTGTGCGCACACGCACGCACATACACACACACACACACACACACACACACACACACACACGATACATATACAGACTGATAATAAGTAAAATAAAAATCAACGCTATTCTTTGGGAGGCTCAAGCTTTCATGAGGCAGGCACAGATTGCAGAATGTGACATAGTGAAGCCCTCACCCATGGCGCTCTTTGACCACCTCCAGGGGCTCATTCCTCTCACGCTTACTGAGGAACATTTGCAAAGGAAGAGTCAAACCCAGAGCTCTTTCTATGAGGCAGGGGTGGCAAGGGCAACCCAAGGTCATCCTGGCTGTTTGGTCCATGGAGTATTTGTTTAGAAATTGACTTAGTTATGACTTCGCCTATTTCATGTGGAAATCTGGCTTTTCTCAGAGGAAGGTGTCAGAGCTTAGTGTAACTAACCCCTTGAGAGAGGTTGACGCACTCAGACTCTGAAAGCCAGTTCATTTTTTTGTGTCACCTGCCTCGTTGCTACAGGGATTTTTTTCTTTTAATGCTTTGGCTTCAAAGGTTTTGAAACTCTGGGTTTCATAAACCTAGGTAACAAATGCTTCATGTTAAAATTAAGGCTCCAAACAGCCCCCTTCGGTGTGTCTACTGCCCTCTTCCTCCCCCTTTCTGCAAATATTTATTGAATAGCAAGCAGTTTGGCACCAGGTGCATGGACTGTAAGCGTGACTGGGACATTGTCACCACCACCATTCTGACAGCCTGCCCTGTGCCAGGCATTGTGACATGTATATACACACATTTGATTCTCACGAGATGCCCAGTGCTGCAGGTTTTTTTTTTTTTTTTAATCACCACCGTTTACAGACGTGATCCTGGAATTTAGTAGCCTGCTCACGTTCACAGAGCCAGGAAGTACAGAAGCCAGAAGTTGGGTCTGGGAAGTCTGACAAACAAGTTCTTAACCCTTCTCCTTGCTAAGGTAGAGTAGAGCTCACAGTCTAACAAGAAACCCTCCCCCTTCCACAGAGCTAGTGGCCCTGGGGGCAATCCAGTATTACAGATGGATTTCAAATGCAGATTTCAAATAATCAAACATTTATGGAGGGTTATAATAGGCCACGTTTCACGCCCTCAGTCATCTCTTGGCCAGGCATGTCCATTCAGTCACAGTCAGGGTTTTGTGGGGGACAGACTTTTCTAGATGATGGAGGGGTGGCAGAATCCCTATATAATAGTTATAGGCCCGAATGGGGACCATTTAAAATCATTGGCTCCAATGATAGAATTAAACAAATGCTGGCAGAGAGAAAGAAAAACAAAAACTAGCACAAGACTAGAACAAGAACAATAGAGGCTGCTTTCATCACCACCACTACCTCCACCACTACCACCATCATCATCATCATTTTATTAGAGGCAGGGTCTCAAGTAACTGGCCTTGAACTCTCTACATAGTCAGGGATGACCTTGAGCTTCTGATCTTCCTGCTTCTACCTCCCAAGTGCTGAGGTCACAGATATGTGCCACCACACCTGACTTTGTTTCTTACTACTCCCTGTCTACTCAACAGAAGAGCAGCTCCTCTATTTGCACAGGGCTCCTGGACTGACTTTCTGAAAGTCCTACCTACCTCACAGTCCTCCAGTTGGCCCAATTCTGCAGGCACCAAGGGACCAAGAGACTGTCTCAAGGTGGTAAGTCCAGATTGTGAAGTCCTGAGACTGGAAAACAGATTTTCTGATTCCAGTCTGGCACCTTCTGGCTCTATCACAGGCTG